ATTTTTTTGTCCACAAGTATATAATAGTTCTTAAATATGAATTAAAGTCTATTTACTGTACCTCTTGAAATTCAGGACAGATCTAATCTTATTTATAATTAAATACTGGCAAAGTGAAGCATCACATGTTCTAAAATAAGCATCCTAGTACATTCTTTTGGCTTCCTTTCTAAGAGTACAGAACAAGCTACCCTGACTTTTTTCAATAAACAGCTGGATGACATCCTTGGATCAATAAGATACTAACTGCCAAATGGGCCAGGTGGGCCAAGTAGCTCGTCATGTTTGTATCTTATCTTATTTCCTTTATTCTTAAGAGTCTATTGCATAATGTTATCTTAAAGATGTGCATTAAGTTTCTTTGCATGATTGCTGAAAAATGCGAATGCTTTATTATTCATACATTAAGCCAGTTAGAAGTAGTATCACTCAATACTGCCAAAACTTACCATTTTATTCTATCTACATAAGAGTTGTGGACACAATTACTGAAATATATTCTTATATATTATACATTTTTTTTAAATATGAGAAAATATTTCACCAAGTGTGTTAAAAGTGATGCAGTGCTGCCTCGCTGTGCTGGGGTTCTAGGTTCAATTCCAAACCTAAGATGCTATCTGCATGGTGTTTGTATGTTCTCCCCATGTTTACATGAGTTTGCTCCAGTTTCCTCTGACAGTTCAAAGATTTACTGGTAGATTAATTAGCTTCTGGAAAAATTGTGTCCAGAAGTGTGTGCGTGTCTGTTTGTGTCTGCCTCCTGGCAATGGATTGGCGTATTTCTTGCTGGGGTCTGGTTCCCTCAATCCTCTCTTAGATAAAGTTATTATGAAAAGGATGGATAGATTTTTCTTACTTTGTCCCATGTAGGATATTTCATACATTTTTAACAGTTATAATATTTGAGTTAAAACATTCACTTCATTAAACGTTAGTGTATTAGAAAACAATCTGGAGTCCGGTTAGACGTATTACAATTATGTAACTAATAAAGTAATTAAATGTACTATAACAGAGAGCTTTGGGTGGAACAAAGAAGAAAAACACTAGGCCTTTCAAGAATTGAGTTAGACACCCCTGGTCTAGGCTCCAACATGAGGTGGTAAATTAAGTAAGTCACAGCATGGCTCTACTTGTTTCTTTATAGTTTCATATCTTCTAGTTTAGCTTTAACTATTCACACCCAATTGTGAAACTAAAGATCTGAAATCTCTAATATTCTAATACAACAACCACTCAAGGGACATACAATCTGTTGCACTGATAATACCGCAGCAAAGATCATGTTTAATTAATTTCAGAAGTTTCTTTTACAAATTTGCCACCAAAATAATAACATTTGATTTTTATTTTCATCTTGTCACTTGAAAGGATTGATGTCTGAGCTTAGAAATGAAATTGTTCAGCAATAAACTTAATAAACCATCACAAGGGAAAATTATTGAAACAAACAAGAAAATACTTACTTAGATATGTTCAGACACATTAAGCAGATACACGAGGACCTAAAGAAGGTTCCACAGCCAAAACATTGTGTTTCCTTTCTTCTGTTTTCAGCATGGAATAAACCTATTACTTTCCTTAACAGCCTATGCATACTGACGCAGCTACAGTACCCACCTGAACTACTTCCATGTATTCTGATAACCTTCACAGTAAGATCTGGTATCTTTATCCAGGCAGACTGTTATATGTATTTATATGCACAGTTTTATGTATTAATAAATGTATTCCGTGTATTTGAATCTACAGTATGTGTGTGCATTGCTGATTGTTCTGATGATTGATCCTCTAATAGCCATAAAAGAATCACCTCGTGATCTACTGTTACAATTAAAAGATTGTTCCAATAAGTTCACAAAACCCCTACAAATTAAATATATAAATAAACCCCTTAGTATAAATGGCTGTTTATGTACTTTAAGCACTTTTATGAATCTGCTACAGCTGTTCAAATATTAAGTATTCAGTGAACGCTAAACCATTGCATTATATAATTATTAGTGATATGCTGATTTTTCAGTGCTTTAAGGATGCTGGATTTGTCTAATTATTTTCGATCCTTGGGTGATACTTTCAAACTGCAATGGACCCTTCTAAAGTTCTGTATTTCTGTAACCTCCACTGTTTTGGTAGGAGCAAAAACATTACAGAAGCAAACTATCTGGACTACAAGATAAAATAGATAGCATCTTTATTTAACATATTTTTTTTCACATTAGCAGATGGAAAAATGTGAAAAGAACAATAATTAATAAATAATTAATTCATGTTGGTGACTTCACTTTGGTTTTCTTGTGCAAAAATGTTTAAATCAAACTGATGAATGATAGTTTAGTAAAAATATATTTTGCCATGCCATATATAGATTAAAACAAAGTCAAAGAAATATTGTGTTGCACATAATTCAATGAATATTTGTCAGAGCATTTATCTTATTCAACATTATATGACACAACCAGTGAGAGAAAACTCAAAATTCAGAGAAAATACCATAAAATAAAACAGAATGAATGTAGTAGTTTTATTTTTACACGTGTTTCAATAGATAGTACACTTGCTGATGGGATATGGGCAGATGCACTGTAGTAGCACTTTACTTTCAATTATCCAGTTAATCTATAATATTATTTTCACCTCTTCACTATTCATTTCAGTTTAAGTTTCCAATTGGTTACAGTAAGCTAATAATTAGATGTGAAAAAGATCCTCACATCAAAAAAAACATTCTCCATTAGTGAACGTTACCGTTCAAGGTACTTAAAACATTATTATGTAGGTCACAAAAAGACACGCCAATTACATGTTTTAGTACAAATAAGACATTGGTGGAAGTACTGTATATTTGTTCTAAAAATATACTTTTAGCATACTATATAAAATATACTTTCAGTATTTGTAGTATTTAGTTCCCCCTATTACATGAAACTGGAAATACCATATATACTGTATGTAATAGTGCAAAGAAACTCTAAGAGATGTTTATGAGAGACTCATAGAAAGCAGCTGTTCTGGAATCTTGTAACTTCTTCAGATGAGAAATGTCATGTTTTTTTTCTTTCCCACTTAAACCCATTCATATTATTAGAACATACAGTTCTTTTAAAACTCTGAAATCCTTTTCTCTTTTAGATAAACACCCCACTTATTCAACTACAGCTTATCCCTGAATCCCTCTTCTGCCTCACCTGCCAACACCTACTGGTGCAGGTACCACACCTACTCTGATCATCAGCTATAATGAAAACCTTTTGTTTTACAGCATCTTGTTGTAGCAAAGGGTGTCTGAGTTGAGCTGATTTCTTATGCATAGTACTATATAGAGTACAACCATTTTCAAAATGATTTTTTTTCAATAGTAAGACTGGCATAATTTATTTAGATCATATCTTGACCAGCAAACTCAAAGCAATGTAAGTAGAAAGTATTTGCCATTAATATTAGCATGTTTAAGCTACAGTAAATCGGTTCAGAGTGTAACTTGTGTGCTTTATACATGTATCCTTTCATCCCAATTTAAAATGATGGGCAACTCAGAAGACCAGTTAATCCAACTCAGCGGGGGTGATTAATACTTGTCTGCTTGACAAGTCACAGACAGAATCCACCAGACATTTTAGCACCCTAATTTGTTCAGCCATCTTAGCAAGTCTTAAAAACAGCAGTGTGATCTGTAAACAATATTTACATTTTTTTCCTTCTTTCTACCACCCAGAGAGCAAAACTTTGCAACCCAGGTACAACATCATGGCAATGGTGCTGTTATTTTCATCTTCACAGAAAAATAATTTCTCACTGCAGCATTTTAGTGTGTTTTACCTGTACATGTTTTTTTGAAGTTGTGATTCTCAAGAGGGTGTCCAGGGATTCTGCACTGAAAGCGATGCTGCCAGAATTCAGGAAACCACGGATTCCTAGTATTGGTGTTGAGCCGGAGTTTCAGGTAATAATCGTCAAAGGAGGTGACCTCTTCCGACTGCAGCTTCATGGTGATACCGCCCACTGCTTCCTGTTCATATCCTTCGATTACTTCATCTCGGTCTGCCCAGCCGTCGCTGAAACACAAAGTGAAATATGCTGACATATTTGCTTAAACACTCTGAGATTATCTGAAGATGCACGGCTTCAGCAAGCTGCAACACCCACATGGTCAAGGTTAGGGTGAGGGATGGAGGCAGGGCTAGTAAGGAAACATTTAAATAAGAAAACTTTATCTAACCATTAGATTATTTTATGGTCTTGGTGAGCAAAATGGAAACACCACATCGTCATGAACAGTCAGCTGCATGAAGGGATATTTAAGCTCTTAAATGTGCTCTAAATGTGCAACAGATTAAATTTAATAATACATAATTCCAAACTAAATTATTTTACAGATATTGTCTGTGTTAACTCCCAATGCATATAAAAGAAAAGAAAAATGCTAAATTTAATAATTTCAGTCATAAAGAGGAGCTGCTTACCATATAGGACTAAAAAACTTAAAGGACTCTTTTTCTATTTAGGATGAGCAGAGAACTGATTATTCACTGATTTACTGCTTACAATATGGATTAATCACGAGCCTGTGATATTCTCTCATTCTTTCTTCAGCACTGAGCAGAAATGGAATTTAAACTCCCAGAGAGGTAGTCTACAGGATTACTCCTGTCCTGTTCTGTCATTCATATCATGGGAAATGTAGAAGCACTAAAGATCTCTGTCCTCACCATACCTTGATAAATATGTAAATCATCAAGCAGCTATCTCAAAGTTTCAAGAAAATATCTCAAAAGTGTTCAATTAACAGTAAGCATAGACAGACCAAGAAAGTGCACTTTAATTCTGGTACAAAGCTGCATTTCTCTTCATGGCACTGATCATTCTGCATCCACCCACTAAAATGACTCAGTGACTTAAGTGGCAAAAAGGGAAGAAACACAATTTGGTCTTTATGTAACACAGAAGTGCTACTATGGAGGAGTCAGACTGAGAGAAAAAAAGGAAGTTAATTGCTTGTGCAACAAAAGAGCTAACCACAATTGTCTTAGTATATAGAGTAGTGCTCACTATAATGCTTCTTCATTCAAAAGGATACAACAGAGTTTCAGATGGACTAAGCATCCCAGTATTTTCACCACTGAAAGAGTTACATGCAGTAACCATTATGTGCCTGCAGCATCTGTATACAGCACATTGAATGGTCAGATGAGAACATTTTTGCTAATTAAAAGTGGGCAGCACGGTGACTTAGTGGTTAGCATTACTGCCTCACAGCACTGGGGCCCTGGGTTCAATTCTGGACCTGGGGTGCTATCTGCTTGGAGTTTGTATGTTCTCCCTGTTTGTGTGCTTGGGTTTACTCTGGGTGCTCTGATTTCTTCCCATAGTCCAAAGACACACAGGTACTGTAGGACAGGTGGCTTCTGGGAAAACTGGCCCTGGTGTGACTGTATGTGTCTGTGTGCCCTGTGTTGGACTTCTGCCCTGTCCAGGTTGTAGACAGCCTTTTCACCAGTTGCTTGCTGAGATCAGCTCTGACTTCTCTATGACCCTGAATTGGAAGAAGAGCTTACAAAATGGATAGATGGATGAATTAAAAGTTATCTTAAGGTAGGTCAGACTGTTAAACCCCAATGTGAAATTTAGTGGAACTCTCCTACAAGCCTATTCTTTACATGGAAACGTAAAGACCCAGTAATTACGCACAGTGTCCGCAGTCACCACACTGGGAATACTGTACATTGGAATTTCTGGTTCAGAACAAAGATTGCCACCCACTTCTATACCAAATCTATGGAGCAAAACAACATCTGAAAAGTAGACCAATTTTGGATTCTTTCTTCAAACCACAAAAGACACCACTGGAATCACTCGCACAAGAACCACAAGTAGGAACCTCTTCATGTGATGCAACAACCTTGGACTATGTATCCTATTATAGTGGTTCAAGACAGTCGTGATGGTGAAACAACAGTTGGTGATTCTTCATCTGCCTCTCCATCATCATCCTCCGATTAATATTCTCTCTAACTCTTATCTCAAGCAAAACTCAACCACTCAAATTAAGAAAAATAATTAAGACTAAAATTCAATGTTTACATATCCATGCTTTTTGCAATAAAAGTATTTCATGTGTATCATTACTTAGGAAATGAAACAGATTATGTTTATGTTGTAAAGCTTTGAATTGAGTCTTGACGTGAATGGAATTTCTCTGATACCATAACAGGTTATTAAGAATGAAAAACAACTTAAAAACATCTGTTTAACATTAAGGTTGCAACTCACTGTTCAGTGTTCAATGCTTTTTACAGTAAAAATGTTTTTGTGTGTGTCATTGCTCAAAAATATAAAGGTTTATATTATATAAAAAAAGATTTAAAGACACAGAAATATCTCTATTAATTACTCTTATGAGAAAAATAACAAGTTTAATGGTTCAAACCCCATTACTTTTTTGTATTCTTAACGGGGGGGGGGGGATTCTCCCTTATATGTTGATTCGCTTTAAGACGCTACTTTTTGTCTACGTATAATGCGGACCCCCTGTACTGACCAGGTATATTGTTTTTTCTCTGTTTATATTAACTGATCATATCCAGAATTATTGTGAGGTAACTAAACAAAATAAATTAAACAAAATAACAATAACAAAAGCATACTGTAAGTTTATACCAAATAAAGTATACACAATGGAGCATCATTATGCTATTAATGAGGAAGTTATTCATGAGTGAGTTCTCAAAATGAAAGCAGATATCCCGAAGGGGTATAATAAACTGTAAATATCACAGACAGTGCAGAAACCGAAATGTAACATGCTGTAGTCAGTCTGAAACAGAACTATGTTTTTAATCTTACAGTAATGGCTCTGTGTTTTTCCCTTTAGATGACTCAGGGACTTCAAAGAAGATGAATTAAAGGTAATATACAATTTTATCTTTCGGGGACATCAAATGTAGAAATAAGTAGAAATAATGTCCTTTGCAACATCATGAAATGGTTCTCTTATGACAGAAGCAATTTCAAGACCTTATTGTACAGTACATGTGCAGCATGCAACACAGTTTTACCTGATCATATCTATGGAACAGATTACTTTAAAAAACACTGGAATTGGTCATCATCTGGAGAGAAGGATGCATGCTTAGATGCAATATTATGCATGCTTGACTGCAGAACTAGAGTATGCATGCTTACCAGTGCCATCTGAAGTAGAGAGCTCACCCTGTGCCACAGGCTATTGCCTCTACTGTTTGAGACACTGGGGAATTCAAGCTATTCCAAATCTTAAACATTATGAAATTTCACTCTACATTATGTGCTGTAGCTCATGGCATGGGCCTTCAGATGTAGAATTGTTTCCCTGTACAATTAACAGTTTATTGCTAATAAGCACTTTATTCTCAGATAAACCAATTAGTCTACTACAAAGTGAATATGTGTTGCAAGAGAAATAGAAGGTCTCACGATTGGATTTTTATGAAACTCAGTTACTGTCATTTGTGTTTAGAAAAATATTTGACTATGAAAATGTATTTCATTCTATTGAATACATTTCATATGTGTCAAATTTTATTGAATGTCTTCATCTTAATGTGCAGGAATTATTGCTTAGTTCTGCAACAACATTAAGAAATTTCCCATTCTAAAATTGTCACTAGGGTTGTATTCAACAATACAATTTATCCGTCATTGTACTGTATATGTACTGTTTCAGGAGTTGATGTAATTATGACACTGCAGAAAACAAGCCAATAACTTCTCATGGTTTTTGTTTACGAATGCAAAAGTAAATATTTTAATACTGTATATAATGCTGTATATAATATATAATGTTTTAACATGCATGTAATACTCATGAAATGGAATGGGTATTGCAAATTGTCCACAAAGAAAATTCTTTATAATAAAGATATTGTCAATCATTAATAGTCTTCTAACACCCAGACTGTGACCTTAAAATATAAGGTTTTTGGGCCTTTTTAAATGCTTTCATAAAGCTCTATTGTATTTATCCTTTAGTATTTATTTATCAGCAATTTTAATTTTTAATATGTTATAACTTTCTTCTTCCATAGATCTGGACAGAAAGGTGCTCCAAGGATACTGGTGAAAACTACAGTATGTGGAAGTAACAGGAGGCATTTCTTTACCCAAACGGTTGTGGGAATATTAAACAAAATACACAGCCATAATGTTAAAGCTGAAACTTTGGCTTCCTTTGACAGAAATAGCTGGATTAGATCCTTGGATTAATAAACTACTTTTGTAACCTTTTTATTTATTTTTTTCTGGATTTGTTTAACTATTTTGGAATCTTTCACTAGAAATTAAGGATATATCCTGTGTTTTTGATTGGTGTGGCTTTAACAGATTTAAAGCGGCCCTTCCCTTCCAGTCCCTCACAACATTGCAAAAAGCACTGCTTTCTAAACAGGCAACACAGCTGCTTAACTCAGAGTGGCTGTTCCCCCTGCAACTTAACTGCCCTGATTACTTTTAGAAACATAAATTAGCTAAATAAATGTGTGTTCCCTTTTCTCTGCACCCAGATCTCTCACATCAAGAGTGCAGCTGTTTTCTACATGAACTCAGCCCTCTCCGGAGAGTATATAAGAGTTAAGTCCTGACAGGATCCATTAAAAGGCTATCAAAGTGGTTTTATTTATTCATTGTGTTCCACTTTAGAAATATCTTTCAAGTAGATGGCAAGCAGCGCTCAGAACCCACATTTGCTCTCTTCTAGTGGCATTTTCATGCTGCTGATTTAGTAACTATCATTTATCTTTTTCAATCCAGTAGACTGCACTATGATCTTTTAGATTTAAAATTGGTAATTGTGATGTATTTGTGAAAAACCCTCTCAATTTATAATTGCCAGCTATTGAACTCCGTTCACTGCTGTGATCCCTGTACTACTGCAGCCTGATTAACCTCATTCTCCTCCAAACACACCCACTGTTGATGCTTCACTGTGCCTTGTGAGACAGTTGAAACTGCCTGGAAGAGTTGAATATCCTTCCTTGAGAGAACTGTGAGCTCTCGGGGACCAGAGACTGTCAGGAAGTACTGTTGCGTTTCAAGACTGGATCAACCCTACCCAACACTGGAGCTGCACTGCTGATTGGTTGTGCCCGCTCTAGGGTCATCTAGATAACACACTGTATTAAATTAATGATATATCCCAGGCTTGAACCTGCAATGTGTGGAGTATAAGGTTTAGCCTGTTCACTAGAAAAGTGTCTTTATCAATCCCTCTTTATTTCTGTTTTTTTGTTCTGAATGGGTAATTTATTTGAACATTCAATGTTTTTAAATCTAAATTCACATGAATAGTAATAGTTATAATGCTTCTTTCATTACTCATTTCTTTCATTCTGCTTCTTTTATTTCATTTGTACTATATAATCAATAGTGCAGTTCAGTGACACTGGGTAAAACTTTTGTGGTTCAAAAGTAATTATTACTTGATCCCTTTGCCAAAAATTCAATTTGTTTCTTAAGAATCATCAAAATGTCTTTTTGATCAGCACATAGCATATTGCTTAACAATATACGTAGGGCATATTAATAAATTTTGTCATCCCATTTAAATTATTGTAAGAAGTGTTTACTATACATATGATACATAAGAACTATTTCATTGTAAAAATTCTCACTCATTGCAATGTTAGACATAATGCACATCTTGATATCACTTTGCTCCTTCACACAATGTTTGTGTAATTCATAAAAGAGCATCATGCCATTAATTGAAATCAATGAATACATTACATAAGGCAGAGATGTCCAAGGATATTATGGTTTCTGAAATGTGTATATAAGCCAAAAGTGTAAATTTGAAAAGTAATTTTTATAAGTAGATTGTTCTATTTTATAGCTATATCAACTGCATAAATATTAAGCATAAAAACATACCATTTTATTTATGGATACATATTTTTAGAAAAAATAAAGTATATGTGTACTTATTAAACGTTTTTGATCATTTTGATCAATTGATCATTTAAAACTAATTTAAAACTGTGATACTCTAAAGTGACTTTAGACTGTAGTGCTAAATCACTAAATTATCTAATTAGTGAGAGAATGGATTGAGCACGGGTGATGAAATGATTTAACCTGTTGAAGGTGAAGCCTTGAGAAAGCTTTACATTGCAAAGTGCATCTAATGGTTTGGTTTCTGGTGCATTTTTAGGTGTGTGAGTGCAGTTGTTTCCTAAAATTATTAGATATGTAAATGTATTTTTATCCATGATTATTGATGATTCACTACATCAGTAATTATGTCAATATCAGTATCAATGATATTGTTCTTTTTTATACAGGATTGTATTTGATGCATCTGCCCCTGTGGTTCTGGAATTCTATGACCTACTTTCTCACAACTCTAAAAACATCTTCACATTTTGTTTTTGTCCTGCCATATTTTTTTCGGACACTCAGACTTCCTGGGGACCAAATTATTGTTTTACCCTCAGTAATGTCTCCTACAGCAAGATTATTCTTATTACCTCTATCATTATGGTGCTGTCAGACATTTTGGGCTGCTGACATCTTATGTAAGGTCCCAGCTTATCTGCATACCTCTGGCTAAACAAAATCACTGCAGCTGAAAGAAAGGCCAAGAGTAAAGCATAGTACTATAAAGGAATGAGCTGTCCTTGTTGTCACTATGCAATCTACAGAGATGCTGCACAACTTGACAGTATATCTCCTCAGGAGAGTTCATGAGAGGCTGCTAGGTAGAATACTGTAACACAGTTCACTTCATGTCCTCAGAGTAAAAAAAAAATGTGTCCTCAAAGTTCAGCAGAATGTTTGATGTGGGTATATGCTGCACAGTATGAATAGTTTTAGACATCTGGGTTGAGGTATTTGCTAAAATATACTTCACTTTATGGTAAAAGCCAACTGATTTCAGAAACTTGCTAATGAAACAAAATTACTGTATATTTCTCAAAAACAAATGCAGGACACATTAATTACCCATTTCTGTAAGTAAGAGAACAAGACTCTGGATTAGTGCAACATGTTCAATAAAAGTAAATAATGCATTATGCTTCAACAGAAGACTATAGCAAGGTACTATGCTAAAAATATATGTTAAATAAGTAACATTTGAATTAATCTAGGAACCAATATACAGTGCTGAATTAAAGACAGAACTGCAAAGCACAATTTGTTTACTAAATGTATAAATAAATGATTTTACAAATGTATGAATCATCTTATATGCCTCAAAGTTACCAAATAGTGGTTAATTCCATGATGAAAAGTAGTAAGAGAAAAAACATAGCCTTTCAGCTGTTGAACCTTTTTAAAATATGCGGTAGAGATGTGTATATGGTTGTAAAGTGAAGGAGAACAACAGAAAGAGCAGATGACTATGGCTAAAGTAACTGTGAAAGTATCCAAACTAATGAAAATATGAGGAACAAATTGCAGGAGATATGCAAAATGCTAAAATCTGTAAACAACAACTCAAACAAAAATGGCAGCTGCAAGCTTATGGATACTGCCATAGTGAAGGACGTAAATGCTCAGATGTTAACAGTTGAACAATTGATCTTGAAATTGGACTTTGTCTTGGGCAAACAATGGGATACAAAAATTAATAAATTCACATGGAAAGGGAGAGGACCACATATTAAATTCTCAATTTTGCAAGATGAAAGTAACAGGCTTATCTATGCCAAGCTATTTTATTTCTACTCTTCTGTTCTGTAAGAACTATCAGTTTTGTTTATCTTCTTAAAGTCCTGTATCTCGGCATCCACTTGAAGAAAGCCTGGTCTCTCCATTATTGACTTAGAGATTTAATTTATACTAGTGCTCCCTCTAGGCACTGTAGATGGTGTTTTGGACATTGGATAATTATATACTTCATTACAACTTGTAATTTAGTAGAAAGATTCACAAAGTTGACATACCCATTCTCCTCTTTTCCATAATCACAAACTCCTTACAGATAATTCCCCTTTATCCTGTACTCTTTGTAGAAATAATGGGAATTACATTCTAGCAAGCTTTTTAACGAGAATGGCTCATTACAAATAGATACAGTAGTAGAATTTGCTGCTGTTCCCTTCTCATTCTGTTCATATTTGGTTTTCCATTCTGCTGTTTGTACATATGGCGCCCCCTGGGGACAAGGCTGTCTTTGCACCTAGAGCATGATCTAACATTAACATGTTTATGTTAATGGGTTCATACAAACCTTCAGCAGTAGTAAGTGTTAGTTAGGGATTTTAATTTTAAAGCACTGAATACATTTCTTTCACTTAATGCCTTAAGGCAAGTGGGATAATCAAACATTAGCTTCCAGAAAACCCAGCTATCAAGTGATTCTCCTGAATTTTCATCACAGGGTGTATCTGACCCTTTGTAGACAAGATTATATGAAGCTAGTCCCCAGTCTCTTGTGTACTGCTTGTCCAAGGGTATTATTTACATATTTTTATAACTTTTTACATGTTTTATGAATGTCCATATGGAGTTATGTTTTGGAAAGAGATTTATTCTTCTTTATCTCATATCCTAAACAAGAATATGTTTCTTGTTCCAGAATGATGACATGAATCTTTGTTTGGTTGGCTGGTGGCAATGCTGACAAAAATATACTGTACATGTATTGCTGCTGTGCTGGAAGCTCCTGCTTTTCCTACCTGGACAGCAATATCAATATAAACCAGCCTTATTATCATTTAGATAGTTGGATCCACGGTGCCTGAAAGTGTGGGTGGAGTGGTAGCTGGGGGGCCATTGAGGCTTGGAGAGCTCCAGCTGCAGTAAGCACACTCAAAACTGGCTAATCCTGCTAAGAGGTCCTTACCACCTACTGTATAAGGAGAGGAGGGGCTGTTGAGGTTTTGTACCGTTCTGTTCTTGTTAGTTTTGTTTTAAGGAAATTGAAAGTTACATAAAAGAATGTGTTTATGTTATCATGAATGACTGTTGATGTAGACTAACATCAAGATCAATTTTACATATCAGTGTTTGATAGCACAACTGTGCTGGCTGGAACCCCACTGGCTATGAAATTTGAACCTATATGTAGTGATATAGAAATATAAGAATAGGATATAACATATAACTTGTATACAGTTACAGATACACATACTGTACTGTACTTTGTTTGGTGAGGGACATGGAATGTAAAAAGGATTTAGCTCCAATTCTGTAGGCACCCATTCAAATCAGTGTTACAACACAATCACATTACACTAAGCATATGACTGTGTGGCACTGATTTATAAGCTCTTACAGAGTTATAT